GCTCAGGCAATCCACTCACCTCAGCCTCCCAAAGGCACGGGATTACAGGCTGAGCCACCGAGCCCGGCTCACTTATCCATTTATTTTGGTTAGGACTTTGGGGAGGCAAGAGTTCTCAGGTCCAGCCAGGCACAGTGGCTCACACCTATAATCCCAGGACTTCAGGAGGCTGAGGCGAGAAATTGCCTGAGCCCAGGGGTTTGAGACCAGCCTGGGCAATTTGGGGAGACCTCGTCTCTACAATAAATCAAAAAATTAGCTGGGCGTGGTGTCACACACCTGTGGTTCCAGCTACTGGGAGGGCTGAGGCGGAAGGATTGCCTGAGCCTAGCATTTCAAGGCTACGGTGGTCATGAGTATGCCACTGCACACCAACCTGGGTGACAGAGTGAGACTCCGACTAAAAAATAAATAAATAGTTCTCAGTTCCTCTGCTTCAGGTCTTCTGTTAGCTCTCAAGACACAAGGTGGCTTGGTGCTTAGGGTTTGACTTCAGAGTCAGATTGATCTCGGGCAGAGGCCAGTCCTGGTCTCATTATTCACTACCTGTGTGATCTTGGGCAGGTGACTACCCCTCTGTGTCTTCATTTTCTTGGTGGGAAGATGGGGGAAACTGGAGTACATTCCCCAGAGTGTTTTTGTGAAGATTAAATGAAACAGGGAAACTGAGACCTAGAGAGTAGCTGACAGGAACCCTCTTGTTCCTGTTCCCAGTCAGCTTATGCCCACCATGTCAGCAAGTGGAAACCCCCTCACCTTTCCACATCACACCCTACACATTCTCACCTCCACGTTCAATCTTGCTTCTCCAATCCTTGTATCGCCTCCACCAATGCAAAGCCTACCCATCCTTCTTATATGCCACCTTCTCCAGGAAGCTTTCCTTGATGCAGAGGTGACCGTTTTGCCCTCCGGGGCTCCTATCACATTCTGCCTTGGGCAATAGTCCACCAGTGGCTCTACCTTTCCCCTGTTTTAAGCCTGTGTTCTCCTTTCCAACAAGAGCTTGCCCTCTGTACTGTAGCACCTCTCTGGACAATCAGAAACTGTAACGCTCTGCTCCTTACCTGTTCAGAGGGCCGGCGCCGTACTCCTGGAGGCGGCCCCAGGGTCCGGATGACTCCCGGCCGGGGTTGTGGGGGGCTGTACTGGGGGTAGGCCAGAGTCCTGGGGTAGCTGCCGGGCCCCAGGAAGTGAGGCTGTACCATCCACTGCAGCTCCTGACTGCCACTCACAGCGTTGATGCTTGGAACAAGGTGGAACTTCTGAAATACAAGGATGGGGTGAAATTTACGTGAACTGAGGAGGGGCTTCCAGTGGACAGAAGCCACACTGCTGTTCACCCTCAACGTAGATGCTGGTTCTGGAAGCCCAGAAGGAGCACAGCTCAGCAAGGAGAGACTGATCTGGTGGCAGATCCCTGCTCATGAGCTGTCTGACTTTGGGTGGATCACATCACCTCTCTGTGCCTCAATTTCCCCAGCAGAGCTAATACTTATAAAGTGTGACCGGTCAGGCACTGTTCCACCCACTTTACAAATACTGACTCATATAATTGGCACAATTGTATCTTCATTTTCAGACAGGAGAACCGTTGTCCACAGACACAGAAGTAGGAAGTGGACTCTGAGCCCAGGCAGCTGGGCTCTTACCCACTCCTGTACCCATCTAGGTGAAGAGCATCATTCACTCCTGGCTCACAGGGAGGCTGTGACAATCAGGTGAGACACTGAGACAATCAGGTGAGACACTGAGAGTGACAGCCTCTGGGAAGTGGCAGGTGCCCAATGGAGGGAGGCTGTGGCAGGTAAGAGCTACGGCTCGGGGTTCAGACTGTCCTAGTTTTAACCTCAGCTCAGCCATTTACGGACTGTGTGACCTCCAGGCAAGTTATTTAACTTCAGTCTCCCTCCATTTTTAATATTTTAGCCGGGTGCAGTGGCTCACGCCTGTAATCCCAGCACTTTGGGAGGCAGAGGTGAGAGGATTGCCTGAGCCCAGAGGTTCGAGACCAGCCTGGGCAACTTGGCAAGACCTTGTTCTACAATAAACTGCAAAAATTAGCCAGTCGTGGTGGCCATGCCTGTAGTTCCAGCTACTTGAAGGCTGAGGCAGGATTGCCTGAGCCCAGCAAGTCGAGGCTGCTACGGTAGCCCTGAGTGTGCCACTGCACTCCAGCCTGGGCAACAGAGTGAGACTCCAACTCAAAAATAATAATAGAGGCAAGAGGATTGCCTGAAACCAGGGGTTCAAGACCAGCCTGCGCAACTTGGTGAAACCTTATCTCTACGATAAATAAAACAATTAGCCGGGTGTGGTGGCACACTCCTGTAGTTCCAGCTACTTGGAAGGCTGAAGTGGAAGGATCATCTGAGCCCAGCAGGTTGAGGCTGCAGTGACCGTGAGCGTGCCATTGCACTCCAGCCTGGGCAAAAGAGTGAGACTCTGACTCAAATAATAATAATAATAGTAATAATATTGTAATACTTGAAATATTGTCACAGGTGAGGATTACAGCATTTCATTGATGCTAAGAGGTACCTTTTAATAGCTATGAAGACATAGTTTAATTAGCAATTTTAAAAATTAAGGGACATTCGCTTTAAGGGACAGCTACATGCAGAAAAATGAAACTTGACTCCTATCTCTCCTCAAATACAAAAATTAACTGGAGAGGGATTAAAGACTTATGTCAGACCTGAAGCCATAAAAAATCCTAGAAAAAATATTTAGTAGCATCAATAATGGTGGGTTTTTTAATCCATGGGGTCTTAGGTTCCATGAAATACGGTAAATGATGTGGACCGCGCCCACCCCGACGCCCCAATCGCCATCCCCTTTCAGCCGGCAGTCTGAGCAATGGGTGGGGATGGGGCTCCGAGTTCTGGGAAGAGAACTGGGTTCGAGCCCTGCCGCTGAGCCCTGGGTGTGGGCGCCCAGCCGTCCGGGAAGCGGCCCACAAGCCCAGGCAAGTCCCGACGGCGGCGGCCCCGGCCCAGCTGCGGGCCCGGCGGCCTAGTGACCCCAGTTCCGGGCCCGGGGCACCGCCGGCGGCATCTCCCGCTCCCGAGGCTGCCGGGCCCGGGCCGCTCCGGGCCAGGAAGGGAGGGGCGCCCCGGGTGACTCAGCCGCCGTGACTCGGCCGCCGTGACTCGGCGGAACGGACGCCTCTCCTTCCCTCCCCGGGCGACACGTGCTCGCAGCCCCTCGACAGGAAGTGGGCACCTGCAGCCTCCCGGGGCCCCCCGCCGGCCGCGGGCGCCTTTCGGTGCCGGGAGCCGGGGGCGCGGGAGTCGCGCGCCTCGTGACCCCGTGCGCGTCCCGGGCACCTCGCGGTCTCCGTTTGCCCCTCCGGCAAAGGGGTCGAGAGCCAGACTCCGCGAACCTACCCGGTCCCGCTGCCCGGGCCCCGCGGGCTCCTCTGTGCCCAGCGAGGGCCAGGGACCCGGCGACGGAGCGCGGGAGGACAGACGGCGGACAGATACAGTGACGGCCACAGACAGCGCCGAGGATTCCCACCCTGCGATCTGGTTTCCCGGTGATCCCGCCGCCCTCCCGTGTCGCGACGGCCCAGCCCTCGCCCGGACTCCGGGTCCCCGGGATCTGGCACGAGACGGAGAGACCCTCTGATCCGTCGGGGCCGGGACTGAGCCAGGCGGCCAGGTCCCCCGGAGGCAGAAACTAGCGGAGCGCGGGAGAAAGGAAAGACGGTAACAGACACGGGGGGACAGCCAGCCAGCCCGCAGACAGCGGGGGGGCGCGGGCGCGAGAAGGGGCGTTCGCAGGTCTTGGCTCCGCCCGCCGCGCCTTCCTCGGGCCGGGGCTTTGGGGGCACATCGGCCCCCCGGACGGCGGAGAACGGGCAGGATCCTCTGCCCGGCCCCCGACTCGGTCCCGGCTCCGCTCCCTGGCGGGCGGCAGCGGACCCCGCCGTGCCAAGCGCTGTCACCCGGGAGCCCAGCGGCCGGACCCCTCTCACCTGCGCGGCCGCCGCCTGCGCCGCGGGAGGGGGCTGCGCGGGGCCGCCGTACGCGCTGCCGGCCCCGGAGCTGGGTCCCGGCTCCCCGAAGTCTCGGAACATGCCCTGGGCTGGTGCTCTGCGGGGTCCGCGTCGGCGGCTTCGGTCCTGACTCACTCGCGCCTCGCGGAGTCTTTTCTTTTTATGAATGAAACGTTCTCGGGCGGAACCACCGCCGCCGCGGGGGGCGGGGCGG